CAACAACGGCTCCCGCCTGAGACTTCCTTGATTTTTACTAAGGACCCCCGCTCCAGCCTGAGACTTCCTCGCAATTTACTCAGGAAAGGCGCTCCCGTCTGAGACTTCCTCGCAATGTAATCAAGACCCCCGCTCCCGCTTGAGACTTCCGTGCAATTTACGTGGGAACGGCGCTCCCGCGTGAGACTTCTTCGAATTTTACTCAGGACCCCCGCTCCTGCCTGACATTTCCGCGCAATTGACTCAGGAACGGCGCTCCCGCCTGAGACGTCCTCGCAATTTAGTGAGGACCCCCGCTCCCGCCTGAGACTTCCGTGCAATTTGCTCAGGAACGGCGCTCCCGCTTGAGACTTCCTCGCAACTTAGTCAGGGCCCCCGCTTCCGCCTGAGATTTCCTCACAATGTACTCAGGACTGCGCTCTCGCGTGCGACGTCCTCACAAATTATTCTGGAATTGCGTTTCGGCGCTCAGGAACCACGCACGCGCCAAGGACGCCTTCACAACGTGGTATCTTCCCTCTTCCTTCGTCCTTCCCCCTCCCCTTCCTCCCACTCTCCCTCGTTCTTCCCCTCCTCCTCTTGCAGGGCCCGCGCCAATTCCAATGGCGGGCAGAGAGATGTACGCCCCCGAAGGATTGTCCGCCCGTTCCGGTTTGCCCGTAAGTCTAAGCCCGCCGGCCCCTGCAAAGAGAAATAATCCCCCCGAAAGGGGTGTGATCGAAGACGAAGAGGGCGGGTATCGAGGGTGTAGGGTATACGTGTTGAATGATTCGCGGGCAAGTAAGAGCGTACAGCCTTTCAATGGTTGTTGTTGTTGTCGTCGTCGTCGTCGTTGTTGTTGTTGTTGTTGTTGTTGTTGTTGTTGTTGTTGTTGTTGTTGTTGTTGATGTTGTTGTTGTTGTCGTCGTCGTCGTTGTTGTTGTTGTCGTTGTTGTTGTTGTTGTTGTTGTTGTTGTTGTTGTTGTTTACGTTGCTGCTGCTGATGCTGATGATGCTGATGCTGATGCAGATGTCGCTGCTGCTGCTGTTGTTGCTGCTGTTGCTGTTGCTGTTGCTGTTGCTGTTGTTGTTGTGGTTGTGGTTGTGGTTGTGGTTGTGGATGTTGTCGTAGTTGTTGTTGTTGTGGTTGTGGTTGTTGTTGTTGTTGTTGTTGCTGTTGTTGTTATTATTATTGTTGTTGTTTTTGTTGTTGTTGTTTTGCTGTTGTTGTCGTCATCGTTGTTGTGGTTGTTGTTGTTGCTGCTGCGCTTGTTGTTGTTGCTGCTGGTGATGATGGTGATGATGCTGATGCTGATGATGATACTGATTATGATGATGCTGATGATGATGCTGATGACGATGCTGATGCCGATGCTGATGATGCTGATGATGATGCTGCTGCTGATGCTGATGATGATGCTGATGCTGATGCTGCTGTTGCTGATGATGATGCTGATGATGATGCTGATGCTGATGATGATGATGCTGATGCTGATGCTGATGCTGATGATGATGATGATGATGATGATGATGATGATGATGACGATGGTGACGATGATGGTGATGCTCATGATGATGGTGATGATGCTGATAATGGTACTGACGATGAGCAGCAGGAGCGGGAGGAGGAGGAGGAGGAGGACGGCCAGGATCAGGAGACATATTATGCTGACGATAGGGAGGGGGAGGAGGAGGATGCTGAGGATGCTGAGGAGGAGGAGGAGGATGAGGAGGATGAGGATGAGGAGGAGGGGGAGATAGAGGCTGGAGGAGGGAGGTGGAGGAATAAGTGGATTAGGAGGCGGCGAGGGAGAGGGACTGCCCATCCAGAATCGATGTCCCGACGAGTTGCCATGACTAAGGACGTGTTGGAGCATAACGGGGAATGCAGGGATGGAGACGCGGTCGTACCCAGAGATGGGGAAGAGGGAGAAGGAATCGGAGGAGGATGATCAGGAGGCGGATGAGGAGGAGGAGTAAGCAGGTGATGATGATGCTGATGATGATGATGACGATGATGATGCTGTCGATGCTGATGACCATGAAGACCATGTTGATGCTGATGATAATGATGCTGGTGATCATGGCAATGCTGATGATGCTGATGGCGATGATGATGACGCTGATTATTCTGTCAATTCTGATGATGATGACGATGATGCTGATGCTGATGATGCTTATGATGATGCTGATGGTGATACTGCAAATGATTATGCTGATTATGATGATGCTTATGATTATGCTGCTGCTGATGATGATGATGCTGCTGCTGATGATGATGATGCAGATGCTGATGCTGATATTATGATGACGATACTGATGATGCTGATTCTGATGACGATGGCGAGAAGGAGGAGGAGGAGATGGAGGCGGAGGAGGAAGAGGAGGGCGAAGAGAAGGATGAGGAGGATATGGTGGTGGTTGTCTAGGGGGGAGTTGGCAGGAGGGAGGAGGAGGGGTACGCCGATGAAGATGATGCTGCTGATGCTGATGAGGATGATGATGATAATGATGATGATGA